ATATATATATTGATGGAGTTTTTGAACAATTGATGAAATGATTTGTTGAAACGGATTTATGCATCCATCAGGTTTTCAATCAATCGAATCCAGTTATTTTAAGAGTCTTCTTATTCTCATTTGGAGAAGAGGGAAAGGTTAAGAACGATAGTGAAGAAGAGTATGGCGCACCGTAAGGAAGATTGACTTCGAGTTGTGAGAAATCTTGAGAGACGTCTGGTGTTACTGGTGTGAGGACTACCACCTGCGCTGTCGCCGCCAGACGAGTTGACCTTTTTCCTTTTGATCGACTGCGTCCTGAAAACCTGTACGCATAGCATAGAAACTAATTTGTTGATCGTTACACATTCCTTAAATCCTCACTGCACACACACCAATGTGTGCTATGCCATATGCCACTTCTTCCTGATGCACCATTTGAATGCATCCTCGAAAGTACCGTACTGATTCGTTGCTTTGATGGCTGAGGAATACATTCACATTTGATGTGATCGCCTTGTTTACACAAATTCATATGACTTGCTCAGCAAGAATCCATAATTGCTGAGCCACACGATAAAAAACGATCACAATAGTGAAACGATAATATACACTACATCCTATTATCTCCAGTCGCCTCCTAGATTTGATTGCAACCTTGAAATGTCGAAGAACAGCAAGCGTTGTTACCTGGCAAAATTGATCAGTGACGAGTCTTCATCGATCAGATTTTCAGGATGTTGTGATAAGTAGCGTTTCCAGAGGGCATCGGTAATCTCTGTACAGTACATAACGCCGGCATGCAGTGCAATCATACGCAGAACGAGCACACCATCAACCTAAACATCTGCTTTCTTAGACTTCGTTCCCATTTCTCAATTAGCGCATTCTACAGACTTTTTAGATCTGCAAATTCCACACTGATCATCGAAATGTTCATAAATTTTATGACCATCATCAGTTTGAGTAGCTTAGGATGTTTTTCAAATGTATCACTATTGAATCACTTACTTTCAATGAGAAACAATGCTATGGACTAACGGAATGACTGTTGAACCAATAACTGTAACGTAATAATATGACTTGAGCAAATACTGCCTACCTTAAGGTAAGTCCTGAGGAAGTGTTCCACTTGCTTCCTTTTCTCTTTTCGGAAAAGCTCTGGCCTATCCGGATCGGATGTCAACTCCAAATGCCGTAAAACAAATCGGAATCGATCCCTATAATAACGCGAAATTGTGCTCTCTCTCACTCAAAAAATGATCCACTCAATGCAGAAATAACGAGATGGTTCAATCTACAAATAGCGCCGTGAAGTTTCTGTAACCATTGATTTTTTTTGAAGTCATTGGTGTTTTTAGTGATTATTCATCACGAAGCTCATTATTTAGCACAATTCGCTTGACAGAATGTTCGTTTCGTATATAGAAACTCATTGAAGTAAAGAGAGTTATGAAAGAATTAGATAGCTTTCATTTGAACAAATCTTTAATGAATAGTTACAAGAATATGTGAATCAGTTCAAAAAAGGAAAGCAATTGGAATGATCACCTGTGAAATAGTGATATACTAAACCAATACATCGCATCTAAAGTGGCAGCAACGAACAACAACGAAAACCATAACCAAATAAGAATGAAAATTTTTTCATTGAATATATTTATCACCAAAACGCACTGAAATCTCATTTGGATTCATCACATCTCAAATGTAAATCAAACTGAGTGGATGAACGTCGAAAACGAATGAGCAAAAACGATTAGTTTAGCACAATTTGAATGTTTTCTTCAAAAGTTGATAAGAAAATTACCTGAACGGAATGTCGTTGGTTATTACCAAGAACACGAACTTCAAAATCGCACTGCAAATTCGGAACTTTTACAAAACTTGTCAAATTTGAAACTCTCGGGTATGTAAATGCGATTAGTTGATGAAAACACTCTTAATTCTTCCACTTTCTGAGTATCGTTAGTTCGTCCGGGCCTAACACGGTTTTCATTTGTTTTAGCAGGGTTTTCATTCTTTTCCGAGCTGTTATAGTCGCTCTCATGACTTTTGTCAGCAAAAGTATTCTCATCTGATAATTTCTCATTCATTTTATTCAACAGTTAAAGTCAAATTCTCATTCTATCAGATACACTCTATAATTGATCATTTGATTATCGAACGTTGTTGAAAAATAGTATTCAATTGTTTGTATTGTTGACTTCGGTTGTCAACACTCGTCAACGTATCAAGTAAATAGTGTATGTCACAGAATAAGAATTTGATTGTTACTATTAAGCGAAATGAGACGAAGTGAATGATAAAAAGTCATGAAGAGAACGGTATTCTCATGCAATAGCTATGAGAGTGAATACAACACGTCTGAAAAGAATGAGAATCCATGTGAATCAGTTTGAAGTGAGCGTGTCACAGACAATAGCTTCTCAAAGTTGTATCAAGCAATGTGACCAAATGAATGTGCACATCATTTTTGCCCGATGCA